TATTTTTCTGCATAGAGTTCTTTTGTCTCCTTAGGTAGGTTTATTCCTAGGTATTTTATTCTTTTTCTTGCAATGGTAAATGAGAGTGTTTCCTCAATTTCTCTAAGATTTTTTGTTATTAGTTATAGGAATGCAAGCAATTTGTGCATTAATATGTATCCTGCTGCTTTACCAAATTCATTGATTAGCTCTACTAGTTTTCTGGTAGCATCTTTAGAATTCTCTGTGTACAGTATCATGTCATTTGCTAAAAAGTGAGTTTCACTTTGTTTTTTTAAATTAATTAATTTGTTTATTTTTGGCTGCATTGGGTTTTCATTGCTGTTTGCAGGCTTTCTCTAGTTGCAGGGAGCAGGGGCTACTCTTTCGTTGCAGCGTACAGGCTTCTCACTGTGGTGGCCCCTCTTGTTTCAGAGCACAGGCTCTAGGCACGTGGGCTTCTGTAGTTGTGGCACATGGGCTCAGCAGTTGTGGCTCAAGGGCTCTTGAGCACAGGCTCAGTATTTGTGGCGCATAGGTCTACCTGATCCATGGCATGTGGGATCTTCCCTGACCAGGGCTCGAACCCATGTCCAGTGCATTGGCAGGAGGATTCTTAACCACTGTGCCACCAGGGAAGCCCTACTTCTTCTTTTCTGATATGGATTTCTTTTTCTTTGATTGCAGTGGCTAAAATTTCCAAAATTATGTCAGATAATAGTGGTGAGAGTGGGCACCCTTGTTTTGTTCCTCATCTTAGAGGAAATGGTTTCAGTTTTTCACCATTGAGAAAGATTTTGGCTGTGGGTTTTTCATATATAGCCTTTATTATGTTGAGGTAGGTTCCTTCTATGCCAGTTTCTGGAGAGTTTTTATCATAAATGGGTGTGAATTTTGTTGAAAGATTTTTCTGCATCTTTTCTGATTAGCATATGGTTTTTCTCCTTCAATTTGTTAATATGGTGTTTCACATTGCTTGATTTGCATATTTTGAAGAATATCATACCTGGGATAAACCCCACTTAAACATGTTGTATGATCCTTTCAATGTGCTTGGATCCTATTTGTTAGTATTTTGTTGAGGATTTTTGCATCTATGTTCATCAGTGATATTGACCTGTAGATTTCTTTCTTTGTGACTTCTTTGTCTGGTTTTGGTATAGGGTGATGGTGGCCTTGTAGAATGAGTTTGGGAGTGTTTACCCCTCTGCTACATTTTGGAAGAGTTTGAGAAGGATGGGTGGTAGTTCTTCTCTAAATGTTTGATAGAATTCACCTGTGAAGCCATCTGGTCCTGAGCCTTTGTTTGTTGGAAGACTTTTAATCACAATTTCAGTTTCAGTGCTTATGATTTGTCTGTTTATATTTTCTATTGCTTCCTGGTTCAGTCTTGGAAGGTTGTACTTTTCTAAGAATTTGTCCATTTCTTCTAGGTTGTCCATTTCATCGGCATATAGTTGCTTGTAGTAGTCTCTCATGATCCTTTGTATTTCTGTGGGGTCAGTTGTTACTTCTCCTTTTTCATTTCTATTTCTGTTGATTTGAGCCTTGCCCCTTCTTTTGTTGATGTGTCTGGCTAATGGTTTACCAATTTTGTTTATCTTCTCAAAGAACCAGTTTTTACTTTTATTGACCTTTGCTGTTATTTCCTTCATTTAGTTTTCATTTATTTCTGATCCGATCTTTATGATTTCCTTCCTTCTGTTAACTTTGGGGGTTTTTGTTCTTCTTTCTCTAATTGTTTTAGGTGTAAGGTGAGGGGGTTTATTTGAGATTTTTCTTGTTTCGTGAGGTAGGATTTCATTGATGTAAACTTCCCTCTTAGAACTGCTTTTGCTGCATCCCATAGGTTTTGTCATTGTGTTTTCATTGTCATTTTTCTCTAGGTATTTTTTTTTTTTTTTTTTTTTGCTGTATGTGGGCCTCTTACTGTTGTGGCCTCTTCCGTTGTGGAGCACAGGCTCCAGACGAGCAGGCTCAGTGACCGTGGCTCATGGGCCCAGCCGCTCCACAGCATGTGGGATCTTCCCAGACTTGGGCACGAATCCATGTCCCCTGCATCGGCAGGTGGACTCTCAACCACTGTGCCACCAGGGAAGCCCTAGGTATTTTTTGATTACCTCTGACTTCTTCAGTGATTTCTTGGTTATTTAGTAGCATATGGTTTAGTCTCCATGTGTTTGTATTTTTTACAGTTTTTTTCCTGTAATTGATATCTAGTCTCATAGCGTTGTGGTCGGAAAAGATACTTGATACAATTTCAGTTTTCTTAAATTTACCAAGGCTTGATTTGTGACCCAATATATGATCTATCCTGGGGAATGTTCCATGTGTACTTTAGAAGAAAGTGCACTCTGTTGTTTTGGTTGGAATGCCCTATAAATATCACTTAAGTCCATCTTGTTTAATGTGTCATTTGAAGCTTGTGTTTTCTTATTTATTTACATTTTGGATGATCTGGCCATTGGTGAAAGTGAGGTGTTAAAGTCCCCTACTATTATTGTGTTACTGTTGATTTTCCCTTTTATGGCTGTTACATTTGCCTTAAGTATTGAGGTGCTCCTATGTTGGTTGCATAAATGTTTACAATTGTTCTATCCTCTTGGATTGATCCCTTGATCAGTTTGTAGTGTCCTTCTTTGTCTCTTGTAATAGTCTTTATATTAAAGTCTATTTTGCCTGAGAATTGCTACTCCAGCTTTCTTTTGACTTGAATTTGCATGGAATAACTTTTTCTATCCCCTCACTTTCAGTCTGTGTGTGTCCCTAGGTCTGAAGTGGGTCTCTTGTAGACAGCATCTATACAGGTCTTTTTTGTGTACCCATCCAGCCAGTCTGTGTGTTTTGGTTGGATAACTTAATACATTTACATTTAAGGTAATTATTGATATGTATGTTCTTATTACCATTTTCTTAATTGTTTTGGGTTTGTTATTGTAGGTCTTTTCCTTCTTTTGTGTTTCCCTCCTAGAGAAATTCCTTTAGCATTTGTTGTGAATCTGGTTTGGTGTTGCTGAGTTCTCTTCACTCTTGTTTGTCTGTAAAGGTTTTAATTTCTCCGTTGAATTTGAATGAGATCCTTGCTGGGTAGTGTAATCTTGGTTGTAGGATGTAGGTTCCCTTTCATCACTTTAAATATGTCTTGCCACTCCCTTCTGTCTTGCAGAGTTTCTGCTGAGAGATCAGCTGTTAAGCTTATGGGGATTCTCTTGTATGTTTATTTTTTGCTTTTCCCTTGCTGCTTTTAATATTTTATATTTGTATTTAATTTTTGATAGTTTGATTAATATGTGTCTTGGCATGTTTCTCCTTGGGTTTATCCTGTATGGGACTCTCTGCACTTCCTGGACTTGATTGTTTTCTTTCCTATATTAGGGAAGTTTTTGACTATAATCTCTTCTTATATTTTCTCAGACCCTTTCTTTTCCTCTTCTTCTTCTTGGACCCTTATACTTCTAATGTTGGTGCATTTAATGTTGAGTCATAGGCCTCTAAGACTGTCTTCATTTCTTTTCATTCTTTTTAGTTTATTCTTCTCTTCTGCATTTATTTCCACTATTCTATCCACTATTTCCACTATTCTATCTTCCAGCTCACTTATCCATTCGTCTGCCTCATTTTTTCTGCTATTGATTCCTTCTACAGTGTTTTTAATTTCACTTATTGTGTTGTTCATCATTGTTTGTTTGCTCTTTATTTCTTCTATGTCCTTGTTAAATGTTTCTTGTATTTTCTGTTCTATTTCCAAGATTTTGGATCATCTTTACTATCATTACTCTGAATTCTTTTTCAGGTAGACTGCCTATTTCCTCTTCATTTGTTTGATCTGTTGGGTTTTTACCTTGCTCCTTCATCTGTTGCATATTTCTCTGTCTTCTCATTTTGTTTAACTTAATGTGTTTGGGGTCTCCTTTTTTTTTTTTTTTTTGCGGTATTCAGGCCTCTCACTGTTGTGGCCTCTCCCCTTGTGGAGCACAGGCTCTGGACGTGCAGGCTCAGCGGCCATGGCTCATGGGCCCAGCCACTCTGCGGCATGTGGGATCTTCCCAGACTGGGGCATGAACCCATGCCTCCTGCATCGGCAGGCAGACTCTCAACCACTGCACCACCAGGGAAGCCCTGGGGTCTCCTTTTTGCAAGGCTGCACATTCATCATTCCTCTTATTTCTGGTGTCTGCCCCCAGTGGGTGAGGTTGGTTCAGTGGCTTGTGTAGGCTTCCTGGCGAGGGGAATGGTGCCCATGTTCTGGTGGGTTGGGCTGGATCTTGTCCCTCTGATTGGCAGGGCCATGTCTGGTGGTGTTGTGGGGTGTCTGTGAACTTAGTATGACTTTAGGCAGCCTCTCTGCTAATGGGTGGTGTTGTGTTCCTGTCTTGCTAGTTGTTTGGCATGGGGCATGCAGCACTGGAGCTTGCTGTCCATTGGGTGGAGCTGCATCTTAGTGTTAAGACGGAGATCTCTGGGGACCCCTCACCGATTAATATTACGTGAATCACCAGAGACCTCTTGGTGAGGTCTCTGGTGATCCATGAGTCTGTCTGGTGTCCTGGACTCGGCTCTCTCGCTTCACTGGCTCAGGCCCAACACCCGGCCGGAGTACCAAGACCCTGTCAGATGCAAGGCATAGAAGAAAAGGAAAAATAAAATAAAATAAAACCAAACAGAAAGAACTCCAAAACAAATGGTAAAAACAAAACTAAACAGAGAAAGTCACACAAAGAAACATACATATACACACTCACAAAAAGAAAAAAAAAAAAGTACAGACTGAACCCCAAGAGAAATGGTAAAAGCAAGACTAAACAGAAAATCACACAAAGAAACATATACACACACGCTCACAAAATGAAAAAAAAAAAGCGAACAGACAGAACCCCAAGACAAATGGTAAAAGCAAAATTAAATGGCAAAATCACAGAAAGAAACACACACACTCAGAAAAAAGAGAAAAAAAAAAAAAAGGAAGAGAGCAACCAAACCAATAAATAAACCCACATATGAAAACAGACACTAAAAACTAAACTAAACATAAAACTGAAAACAAATCAAATGCAGAAAGCAAACCCCAAGTCTACAGTTTCCCCCAAAGTCCACTGCCTCAACTTTGGGAACACTGATTGTCTATTCAGGTATTACACACATGCAGTGTTTACCAAGCTGATTGCAGGGATTTAACCCACTGTTCCTGAGGCTGCACAGAGAGATTTCCCTTTCTCTTCTTTGTTCGCACAGCTCCTGGGGTTCAGCTTTGGTTTTGGCCCCACCTCTGCATGTAGGCCACCCTCAGGCGTCTGTTCCCAACCAGACAGGAGGGGGTTAAAGCAGTGGCTGATTAGGGCTCTCTTGCTCACTCAGGCCAGGGAGAGGGAAGGGTATGGTAGTCACAATTGGAATGTGGGGCATGCCTGTGGTGGCAGAGCCCAGCATGACGTTGCAATGTTCAACTCCCAGGGAAGTTGACCCTGGACGACAGGACCCTGGCAGTGGTGTGCTGCACAGGCTCACACAAGGTGTGGGTAGTGACCTGCGTTTGTGCACAGTATCTTTGGGGGCAGCATTCGCAGCAGTAGCGGTCTGTGCCTGCCTCTGGGGTCCGAGATGATAGCCACTGCTTGTGCCCATCTCTGGAGCTTGCTTAGGTGGTGCTCTGCCACCTGTGGGCACACAGAGCAGGAAGCCCCTCTCCTTGTGTACCCCGCAACAATGGTCTCTTGCCTCTCCTGCACATCCAGACTTTTCCCGGACTCCCTCCCAGCTAGCTGTGGTGCATTAGATCCCTTCAGGCTGTCTTCATGAAGCCAACCCCAGTCCTCTCTTTGGGGTCTGCCCTATGAAGCCCGAGCCTCAACTTCCAATCCCCACCTGCCCCAGCAGGTGAGCAGAAAACTGTCTCAGGTTGGTGAGTACTGGTTGGCACCATTCCTCTATGCAGGAATCTCTCAGCTTTGCCCTCCGCACCCCTGTAGCTGCGCTCTCCTCTGTAGCTCCAAAGCTTCCCCCACCATGCTCCCTACCAGTGAGAGGGATTCCTTGTGTGTGGAAACGTTTCCCCCTTCACAGCTCCCTCCCATAGGTGCAGGTCCCATCCCTATTCTTTTGTTTCTCTTTCTTTTGCCTTACCCACATATGTGGGGATTTTCTTGCCTTTTTGGAAGTCTGAGGTCTTCTGCCAGTGTTCAGTAGGTGTTCTGTAGGAGTTATTCCACATGTAGATGTATTTTTGATGTATTTGTGGGGAGGGAGTTGATCTTCACGTCTTACTCCTCTGCCATCTTGTAGGTCTATATAAATGTTTTCTTAAGCCCAGTTTATCACTGATACAGTCATCTTCCTTCTGTCTCCCTGTACCTCTTTTCTCTTTTATCCTTCCTTATTTCTTCTTTTTCTCTTTTTTCCTTTCATTTTGGTATTGGTTTCATTTTTACCATTTAGGGATTTTAATACAAAGTTCAATTTTAGAGTTAAGAAGAGAATGCAGTGATAAAGTAGTATTAGTAGTAGTAGTAACTGTAACAAATGGCAGTAACAGCAGCAGAATCAACGTTATTATCATCTTCATTATCACCATGATAATTTTCACCTTAACTCATGCAAATGTTGCCTGATTTTAAATACCAGCATTGTGTTTACCTAAGTGTGTAGTGAAATTCTCTTCCTTAATTTATGAAAATTCATCGTAGAATAAAAAGACACAATGGCAGAATTTGGAATAAATACGTATCCTTATAGAAGAGTAGGAAATTAAATACAGTAAGAATTGTTACATTTTTAAAGCTTTGGTGAGAGACCAAAAGAACTTAATATTGTACGTTAGATTTTTGGAATATTAGGGGATTTAATATAACTTAATTTTTCTGGTACTTCATTTGAAATAGTTCTGCTTCTTCAGCATAGTAGAAATTGATTAACTAGAAATACAGCTTGTCCTGATTCTTTACTAAATTCCACATCATATAAGTTTAAAGTTATACAGACTTAAAGTCATACATTAGTTGATGGGTAATTTAAAATTAGAAAAAAGGCATGTTCAAAATATTGACTTATTTGTAACTATTTTTCTCTGCTTCTCATGTTCACTTTAAATATATCAAATGAAGTGCTCACATAGCAATAGAGACAGTCAGGGTCTAAATGAATAGATAAAAATTTCAGAATAAATATGAGAATTAATATCTCAAGCCCCCACCAAAATTTCTTGTTTGAAAATATATTATGACAGATAGGATATATTCAAGATGTAGGAAATACTTAAGATGCATTTGTGGAAATATATTCAAGGGAAATTAATAAATATGAAATAAACAGGAAAATATTTTATAGGGTATCTCTGCTTGAAGACTGAACTCTATTCTCTCCTAGAAAATTCTAGATATCAACTAACAGGTTAGTCAGAGATTTAAAGTGTCATTTAAAAATTAATGATATATAACAAAGATTTCATTTTAGGGTTTAAAATTATAATGTTAAAATATTATTTGAGGATGTGTAGATACATACAAAAATTAAAATAATTTTAATAATTTAATTTCAATAATTATCAGGCATTCTTCCCAAATTAATACTATTTTCTGAAAACAGAGGTTATAAAGCAATTAACTTTTTTTCATAAAAGCTAAACTCCTCTTTGGATTTCTTTCCATTAGTGAAAACAGATACCAATGTAGTTCTTTTGTAAAAGTAAAGTGGCATAAATTGAACTTTAGAAGAGTGGGGCATACCTGTATTCCATACTCTTTTTCTCCCATTCACATGGATATATTTCTGTGAAATGAGTCTCTTGATCCAAAGAACTATGAACCAAAGAGACAATCTGTCCCACCCACACGTAATGTATTTTAATGGAACAGAGAGAACATTCTAATCAATGCTTGTCTCTTTAGTTTCCTTTAATTGAGATGAGTACCAAGCCATTTTCATTTTCTTCCATGATAATGAATTTTAAAGAGTCCAAGCCAGTTGTTTGTCAAAATGCTCTCCATATGGTTTGTTTGTTTTCTCACAATTAGATTCAACTTAAACTTTGTTGGAAAGGATGAAACATAGGTGATTATTGGCTAAGGTTTTATTACCAGGTGATAGATGAAAAGTCTTAAGATGCTGATCACTATTTACATGTGCTGCTCTTTTTTGTCAGGTGTCAATGCTTGGGGCAATGATCTCTGACCAGAACTGGAATAGGGTCATTTGAAATATTTGGTAGGCAGATTGATAATGACTCTCCTTCCCCCACCTCCCCACCCACGTTTCCATCCTCTGGTTATTCCATCAAACACTAATGTAGGTAATTCCGTGAAGGTACTTTGCAGATGGAGTTAAGGTTACTAAGTGACTTTAAGAAGAAGTTGACTATTCTGAATTATTTGGTAGGGCCCAATCTCACGAGCCTTTAAAAGGAGTGTAATGAACAAGTGAAAAAAGTATTTCACCATGTTAAGTGTTAGCAAGGGTATGTCGCCTAGATTCAGAGCAACATTCCCAAGTTAGCATAATCAGTCAGTTTTCTTAAGGTTAATATGTGTTAAAAGGGTACATCCCACATTGTTATGGGTTTCCTCCTACCTAGATACCACTCTTTGCTCTCAGATATGAGAAATCCATTTAATACCCCATGGTTTCCCAAGATTATTATAAATAGACATCAACCTTGCCTGCTCCTATATCTTTTGCTGCTATAAACTCACTAATTTCCCTGTGTCATTCTCTAGGATTCATGTGTACCCATGTATAAACATGGTTTACTCTCTCTCTCTCTCTCTCTCTCTCTCTCTCTACATATAAAATTAAAATATATGTTAATAATATCTTAATTTAACGATATATTAGAATCCAGATATTTTCTAGCCCTGTCTACCGAGAAAGCCTAGAAGCAATGACACTGTAGTAGCAATGAACACACGCAACATTCAAATTTTGCTTTCTATTAAAAAGAGCCAGCTCTTTGCAGAAATGGTTGATTCTAGGGCTGGGATAGAAAATATACAACAGGATCCACTTGTATACTTTGTCTTATGCTTTTAGCAAAGGGAAAAGCAATTGAAGGAATTTGACCAGATAAAAAAAATCTGATTTATGCTTGAATAACATTACTCTGGTTCTTCTGTCAGGGACATAGAATAGGATGCTATTATATTAATGAGGATGACAGAAGATGGTGGAAGTAGGGAGAAGCAGTCAGTTTCTGGATATGTATTGAAAATGAAGTTGGAGTATTCTGATTCATTTGGAGGAGAAATAGAATGTATATCTAAGGGTGGTTTGTGTATGAGAAAGAGAGAAAGAAATTAAATGTAACCCTTACCCAACCTCCAGGGTTCTTTTGGTCTGAGATACTGAGTATAAGTTTTCAAAAGGTGAGATGGAGAAACACTGTGAGAAAAGAAAATTGGTGGTGGGGGGTGAAAGATCAGAAAATCAGTTGTGTGCCTGTTTATTTAGAGCCATCTTTTGCCTTCTATGTAGAATTACACATTGGCTGTGAATCTATATTTAAGTGCAGAAATCTGGACTAAAGATATAAATCTGGGGATCATCTGCCTATTTCCCATATTTAACTTTGAGACTGGATCAAATCACCAGGTAAGTGAGTGAATGTACATAGGATAAAGAATCCCCAGACTTAAACTTAGGGCACTACTAAGTTCACTGTATTTTAGATCCATAGTCCTAAATACAATTCCATCTAAAATATTGTTTTTGCTAAATTGAATTTTAATTATGACCATCACTGCCTTAAAAAAGTGACTTAGAATGGAGATTTTAGGCCCTATGAGGATACAAGTGAAGTTAGATTTTGGGGGGTGAAGTGCTTTAATAACCATTTCCTGAGCTTTCTACCAGCTACTAAAATTATTCTGATAATGGCAGAAATTTAATTTGTTACCACAGTGTGTATAGGGGGTTAAAGCACACATTTTGTTATTTTAAATACTCTGTTTTGGCCTATAAATTCATAAAACTTCTGCATTTCATTTCATGACAAATATTTGTCTTAATATAAATTAAAAACTCTCTGTGAATATATACCAGGTTTAGCCTGTCTTTAAATTTGTCTCTCAGATAGCTGTCTAACCCTAGATTTTGAGTGGTTCATCTTCAAATCAAGTGATATAAATAGCTATATGGCTTAATCGTTTAATTTATAGGGTGTGGAATGCTGGAATCATATTCTCTACTACTTAGTTTGGGTACATTTTGCAATCCCATTAAATGTCAATTTCCTAATCTATAAAGTGGATTCAATAATAATACTTACAAGGATAGTGTTAGTTATTAGAGAAAATCTGTTTAAAATGCTTAAATTAATAAGTAATAGCTAGCTATTGTTATCATATATAACTAACACAATCTCTAACATTACTGAACAAAGGTCATATACTTAAGAAATTCATCATCTCCTTTAGAAAACATCCAGCCCATAGAAAGTACTTAATATGTAGTTATTATTCTGATTATTATTGCCTTTCATTTCAAGGTCAAGAGAAGAAGCTGCTTCCCTGTAATAATTCCATGTAAAATTATTTTAAAAACTTATACTATTATTTCATAGGTACTTTTACTTCCAGGGATTATAAACAATTCCTAAAAATAATTTTCCTTCTTTTATGAAATATTTGGATAGCAAATATCAAACTTTTTGAAAATAATGAATGTTTTCTATAGGATATTTTTTATTTCATTTAATTATGTTCTTATACTTAATAATTTACGGATAATTAGAATTGTAATAAAATATTTCACATATGTATTAATAGTTTAGTATTTCTTGTGTAGTTACAATTTCTTTAGTTCATTCCATTCTTCAAAATTTGACATATGCTTCTCTGAAACCTGACACTTGCAGACTCATGAAATGGGACAGCTAATTTGAATTTCTGGTAGACACATTCACAAATTCATGTTTAAAATGCTGCTTTGCAAAATTTACCATTCTACCTTTAGCTGAGATCATCTTTTCTCTAAGCACTTTTCAATTTTTTCTGTCCCTTTTGTGTGTTTCAAATTTGGAGTATAAGACTGGTACCCAGGAACTATTTCACATTCATACAATTGATATAGAAAAATAATTTAACATTTTAGGTATATTTTTCTCTACTGAAAGATACCTATAAATTAAGACATGCTTTTCTGCCTAGCACTGTAACCATCTGCTTAAAAAGTGCTGATTAAATATGATATTTCAGGTCCTTCTTTAAATGAGACACACACATTTCATTTTGGGCTCTACCGAACAATTCTGAATTCCACTCAAAATGACAGTTCAGGTTTGTTCTTTCTGCTCACAGAAATTTGCAAAACTTCCATGTTTTTGAGATGATCTTTCTAGAGAGTATCTAAGTAGGGTGAAGTCAACTGCTTGCTAGACCTTACAGGACAGCAGCTATCTACACAGCCTTCTACAGTCCTCTAACACATGGTCTGTCTGGTTTTTAAGCCATTAGATTCATTAGCAGATTCCATTAAGTTCTAGTAGAATAAGAAACTACAACTCCTGTAAATCAGAGCTTGACAAGCTGTAAATACGAAGTGTATGGTGTCTGGGTTAAAGCACAGGCTTTGGAATTCAACAGAACAGGGGCCTCATTGCTTACAGTTTGACCTTGGGACTATTTATGTTCTGGGTCTCATTTTCTTCAATTAAAGAATAGAGATAGTAAAAGCCACCTCACAAATTGTTGGACAGAATAAATAAGCTCATATACGTGTATAGTATCTGATATTCATTAATACCAAGTAAGATAACTATTCTGTGAAATGTGTCATTATTCTTGGGACTAGCCTTGTTTTACTACAGGTAATAGAACCATTCAGCTTAGTAACACAACCCCACACAATACGTGAGAAAATCAAAACCAAGAATGTATTTTGGGGAGAAAGGCTCTCCACATTTATTAGTAGGATAACCCAGTGATTTACAAGTTTACAAGCCTTAAAAGCACAGTGTCTCTGACTTCACATCTGGTAACCTGTCTTCCAGCTATGCTGCTGTATAATCTTGTCCCCATATTCAGTGAGTACCTAGGAATTTTTTTTTCAGATTTAGTTGGTGCTCGTTGAGGACATGGGGTCCATCTAGTACTCTTGAGTAGGGCCCTGATAGATGGCCAGAATTAAATATCCCTCTTTTTGTAGCTGACCATTCTTCAACCTTTAGGTCCAGCTGCAGGCTAAATTCGTGTTGGGTTTTTTTCCCCTCACTTTTCCTTTTTTTTTTAAAAATTGAAGCATAGTTGATTTACAATGTTGTTGTGTTTTAACTCGGGTCACCTACTGCTCAATCACCATAATCTTGCTCTAGAACTGGGGTGTTGCCACCATTTTCCTGAGGAGAAACATCATCAAACCTATCAGAGAACACTAGTATCTTGGGTAAGCCAGACCACAGCCTGGGATATTGGAACTTAGCTCTCTGCTCACTTCTATAGCCACGCCAGCTCTCTAATTGTCACTTTGCTTCTTGGCCTCAGCTGTATCCTTTGACAATGTAGATGGGATTTATAGCCTGGATACACTTGTGGCAAGCATTGTTGGATCACTATCCCGTAGCAATCATGCCTTCTTCCTTGCTAGCATGATTTTGCTTTTGTTTGTATAACAGTATGCCCAATCTTGGATGTGAACTGTTCCACTTCAGCTAATCATATTCCCTTTTACTAGTCATTGTTTTAGAAAAACCCAGTTTTCACCAATAAGATGTAAGAGGAAGACAACTGAAAGATGTTTAGAACGATTATTTTCCTGATGAAAAAGAGAGCTATATAGGGAGAAAACTCTTTGTTTTTGCCACCACCTTTTACTGTCTTGGATATTATCATGTGAGATGATCCAGAACTTGAAGCTGATGCAGTGATCTTTTAAACACTAGGTGACAAACCTGGGGATGGAATTCAAGGGAGTGATGAACAGAGCAGGCAAGAACCCAGGTCCTTGAAGCCATCACAGATGTGTCACAGAGCCCCGAGACTGCCCAGTTCTGGGGTTTCTGTTAGTATCATTTTACCAAACTTCAATTGGCTTTCAGCTGTATTTAGCCAGAATATCCTGATTCAAACAATATGCATAGTAATAACTGAGAGTTCATTTTAAAAATTGTATTAGCATTTAAGTGATCTAAACCTTCTTTGCCAAAGGATCCACTAAATCAGAAATTTCCTACGTTTTCATGAACAATTAACTAAGCAAAAAAAGTCAGCTTGGGACTTTATTTCACTTTAATTTACTTGCTTCTTTTCTTTTTGTAGGGAAGAACATGTATTTATTCCAACAGTCACTTACCATGTCCTCAGTATAATGAAGAAGTGCCTGTAAGGAGCAGATAATTGACAAAGAGAGATGAAATTTGCTCATAAATAACTACAATACGAGCAAATATGATGAATAAGCAATAAAAAAGTAAGATGTGGTTTATTGAAAGTAGAAAGATTACTACCATTAAGCTCTTTCTATACCACATATCCTAAAGAAAGGAAATGAGAATCTTGGAGTAATGCAGAGAATGAAAGTTTTGAAGTGGGAAAAATCTGAGTTTGGTTTACTGCAGCTTACCAGAGGAATGACCCTGCATAAGTTAATTAAAATCTCTGTCTTGAAAATTGCATATTTGTAAAATGATGATAATCACACTTTCTTGAAGTAGATTAAATGATGCATATAAAATCCTTGGAGCATATTTGTCACTCCACGCATTTTAATTTTCTCATTCATTTTGGATGTATAAACCAACGTTTTGATATAAGGAGAGTAATTATCTTATAGTTGAATATTGCATTAATATGAATTTTTATTCATTCAATATTTGTTCTTAAAACAACTCTAAAATGTAGGCAGTAGAGTTAACATCATCTATAATGTCAGAAAAGTGGATTTAGGTGCTGTTTTGTTTTGTGACAAGTAAAGTAAATAAGAACCTATATGGCCTAAAATCCAGTCTCATTTTTGCAATAACCTGGCCCGTGGCCATGACTGTGCAAGTAACCTCTCCTACCCACACTTAACACTTTATAAACTAGAAATATTCAACTGGATAAACTGTAATTCCCTCAGTAACTCTTTGGCTGCTCAAGTGATGTAGTTTTCAAGAGAACAGAATCTGAGACTCGAAGTTACATACTTTAATTTTGAGTCCAATATTTTTTTGATGGGGAGAACCTCACACTAACTATAAGTGAAGTAATAATTAAATGAATTGGACCATTGCACAAAATAGTTTAAATTCACTTTCCACTTTCAATGTCTCTAAATACATATTAATTACCCTCTGCCATTTACAGTTTCAGATTAAAACAATAATTTACCATCATAGATCAACTACATTAATTAAAAAATTGATGAGGATAAGAAAAAAGGACTGAACATCCCGGCAGCCATGAGTAAAACCAATGTCCAGAACTTAGTTTCAAACACCATTCTCTAACAAAATGAGCCAAAGCTTCTTGGAATACTGGTTGGATTTAGGGCTTTACCAGGGAAAATACAAGATAAGATCAAAGTATCTTATTGTGGCAAAAAATATGGACATGATATTTAAAGAACAATGGAAGGACATGTGAAAGGGACACAAGAGTAAAACTGAAAGAGCTTCCAATGGCCAAGAGTGAAACAATTTGAGCAACAAAATTAATAATATTTGTTTTTAATAACATTTATAGTGAAGTGAATTATAACGCAAAGTATAAAATAAATATCCATGAATCTACACTGATATAAATAACTGAATAAATAAATAAATATGAGAGAAGAGATCAATCTTCCATAGAGAAGTATTCCAAAAAATTGATGTTGGCAATCCCCCTACAGGCAGTGGTGCTAAATCCTCCCCCACTCTGCTAGTGCGGGCTGTACTCAGTGACTCGATTTCAAAGACTAAAATATGCAAAGGTTTGTAGAGTGTGAGGATAGAGTAGTGGCTTCCAGTAACTTCATAGTCGAAAAACCTGCCAAACACTACCTGTAATGCAGTGTGGTATCCTGGAAGGGATATAGAAAAGGGACATTAATGGACAAACTAGCAAATGAAGTTCAGAATTTAGTTAAGAATAATGTACCAACGTTGGTTAGTTTTAACAACTTCTCCTTAGTAATAAAAGCTGCTAACAAAAGAGTAAACTAGGTGAGGAGTATACAGAAACACTCTGTAAATCTGTCTGTAAATCTACAACTTTGTTAAAATTCAAAGTTTATTAAAACAAAAGGAGAATTGTAATCATCAAATTTATGTCTCATATTTTAATTTTTAGGTATATAGATACTGAAAAAGAATTATATTACATAACATATAAAGAAACAGACCTTTTTTATTCAGTTGTTTTATATCTGTTATTTTATCTGTTGTAACTTTAACTGCATAATTACATTTGAAAGGCAACAGTTTTCACACATGCAAAACAGCTTATCACTCCACCAAAATGGCAGTTAAGCTACAACTGGCCTTTGACATACCTTCTGCTTTTAATAAATAACTGCTTTAGGGACAGTTTTGCTCTTTTCAGCTCTAAATGTTTTATGTGTGTGAGGCAGGGGGATTGTAAGTGTTTATATGTATGTGTGTGTACGCATTACAATTATCTAAGCATTTTAATTGTCACCTTGGATTTCCTGGTCACTTGTGATGTATCTTAACAATCTTTTAGCTATGATACATTAACAATTAAAATACTACTGCTGAGAGAATTTATGATATGAATTCTTATTAATGATGGATTTTTCCCTTACCACTATAATTAGTTGAAAGAAAAAATAACACGTCAAAAGTAATCCTCTACAAAATGAAACTTTTTCTAAAGGAAATCTAAATAATTCGTGTAGAGCAAAGGGCTTAGGGAAATGCCCTTAGCCTCTCTTGATTTCTTGTTGTGGTTGGGAGCCCACATGTATCTTGTCCTGGTGTAATTTCATTTTCCTTTCATCGCACGCAGGGACTTCTCCTGGATTGTGTTGTAGGAAGAGGATGCTGTACACTTGCTGTGCCCCTCTTTTTTCCAAGGCATGGATAACAGTGACCTTTCAGGAAGAGGAAGGAGGTAGCCTAAGCATGGGCATCAGCTGCTTGGGGGATTACACATCAGTCTTGAGGATGCCAGCTGACCAGCTGTGCTTGCTCACACAGAGTTCATGGGAAATGCAAACTGTGTACCACCATCCAGTTGAAGGAGGGGCAGCTGCTGCCCTCAGGCAGTGGACAAGTCTTCACAGTTAACTTGAATGCATGTTCAAGTTTTTTTTTTTTTTTAAAAAAATTTAAAATGCATGAATTATTTAAAGTATTTGTGCTGCCATAGACTTAATGAAACATATGGAGTGTTTTGTTATAGAGTCAGGGTTGAATCCTCCCTCCAAAATTACTACTTGTATAAACCATTTAGAATCCCTGAGATTTGGTTACAGTACATGCCACACGGGACCATTCATATGTACCTCACATGGCTATCTTGAAAGTAAAGTGAGATTATACACATATGCACACATGCACACATTTACAATTGCAGCTCAAATTTAAGTTGAAATCAGATGGAGTCAAGATCCTCTTAATGATTTTGCAAAGTTTACCTAAAAGATACCTAAGATATTTACTCTATGAATCATGGAGATGAAGTAGCTTAAGAAAAAGAGGTCATATTTTCAAGGAAGTAAGCATGTGGCATAAATGAATTTCCATCCAAAGACTAAAATAAAGATAATTTCTTCATTGTCTATGATTAGGCATAATTCCTGCCTCCATTCTATCTACTTTAAAGATAATGTAAATCCTATTTTGGGGGGATACTCCTTGGTCTGGATCATGTCAAGTTTGGGGAAATGGAGTGAAGTGGAATAGGGGATGAGTATGTATGTCTATAAAATCATGTGTTATTGTTAGTGTATGTGTTGACTCAATCTTTAGGAATATTAACATCTAAAACCTGCTGCTGCTATAGAGTAATTTTGCAGAGACTCTTTTGCAAGCCAACCTAGCTTCCTCTTTAGGTTCTGCTCTCCCTCCAGTGCTGCTGCCCAGTCTCATCACCCAGACATAATGCTGGAGTCTCTAAAAACTTTTTTATCCTTGTGTATCTAATCTGAGGAATTTCTTTTTGGATTATCACCAATAGAATGAAAATATAGGAGTAATTTTGCTTCTTCAGAGATATTTTCTATGTCCATAAATGCTTTGTCTTATCCTTTATTTCTTAAAATCTTCCTAATTAAAGTTAAGAACTTGGTTCTTTCAAAGACAGCAGCTAGAAAGAATGCAGCCTAATCCTTTAGTCTGCCATAAGCCTTTAAGGTAACACCCTGAAGCAGTTACCAGCTTGAGAGTTTACAGTGGAATAGAAAAAATGTTTCTAGGGAATGAAAAATACACAAAAACATAGGTTAATATTTTAGATGTGCATTTCACCTATTTACACATGTAAAACCTTGAAGCAACCATGGAACTAGGAGCCTTAAGATAGCTTGCAGACACAGAGAGAGTTAAAGGATGCATTAAGGTAATGGGCAACACATTCGAAGAATGTAGATAAACATTGGAATTTCTCAGAGATGCTATGACTCCACAGTACAGATAACTCAAACACGTTTATCCTATATAATAATATCTTGATTTTTAGCAGCAGTTTCTACACAAATGTGTCATTTTGGAATAAAAATGAAAACTTCCACCACTTATATCTAATGAAAAATATCAAATTGAAGAAACTAAATTTGGAGAAATAACCAACTTTTCATTTTGTAATTTAGGAGAAGTACAATAAAATCTACTAACATGAAAGAAGAAGGTTGAAGTTCCTGACAGGGACTATAATTAAGCAATAGCATATTATTTTGGTGAAGGGGGAAAAGGAAGAAAATAAACACACGAAGCCTCTGTATATCAAGAAGAATATATATCTATGAGACAATATAAAATTTACATTGTAAATTACTGGCAGAGGAAGAAGAATGATATGGCAATTAAATTTAAGGAGTTAAAATGTGTAAAAAGCAGAATTAAGTGAATGGTGACTAGCAACGGGAAGCAAACAATGTTGGCAATTAGTACCCTCTTTGGAAAATATTAGGAGGTTATTTCCTTGAAATGGAAATGTGAGAATTAGAAATTTAATTCCTTGACCCAAATTGTCAAGCTTCCCCAGGTAGGATATAGGCAGTGAAAGAGGCATTGCATTTGACATTTCAGAGTATGTTAGTGTCCTTCGAGAGAGTGATTGTGGTGTACATTTTTTAAAAGATAAAGTATTAATTAGAGTGTTGTGAGAGGGAAGGATTCTCATATAGAGATGCATGGGAAGAGGCAGGGAAGTGAGGCAGAGTGCTTAGGCTTCTTTTCATGAGGTTTGGTCATGAGGTGAAGGAAAATGGGACATCCACTTGAGAGCAATAAAAGGTTAAAAGTGTATCCATTTAGACACTTTTGAACATGTCTGTCAGAGGGGTGAAGAGACTGTTCCAAAGTAAAGAATGAAAATTAAAAATCATTGAACAGTGATGTGAATAAAATCCTAGCAGAGGTGAAATAAGAGGGGGAAGAGCAAGTGCCTTTGAAAAGGTCAATATGATGATGAAGATAACTTGGAAGGTTAAATGTGACTAGAAAAGGAGCACAGAGAATTTTAGTCTTTGTAACCTATATTTTCTCTTGGTATTGCTGTTTTGGGTATATGTACTCTCAACAGAGAATCTGACAATGTTTCTTGGGGAAAACAATATGTAAATGTTGGCAAATATCTGAGACTGATTACTTGTAAGGTTTCTCAGGGTCCTGATACTCAACAATCTTAGTTTATATTGGATAAATATTGAAATCATTCCAAAATATTTTTTCCTAAGAAGTTAAAATAATAGTATGATAAATAAAAATAGAATTTTCTTGTTGTGATTAATATACCTCTGAGGTAATACAAACTTATATTTCAACAAAATATTTAATATAGAGAGGAAAAATAGGGGGAAATGTAATATGAAATCTGAAAGTTACTACAGAGAGATTTATTTTTCCAGGAAACACTGAATGAAAATATTGCCAGTGGAAAGGAATTGCAATAAGCAACATTGCAAGTAAGCTCCAGATTATCAAAAGCCAGTGATTTCATTGTAGAAAGTGTCATAGTCTATAAAATATCCAAGGCCATATTTAATATCTTATTAAACATTTTTATGTCAAATTCATATCATTGAAGTATAATTAAGAAAATTACATGAATCTGGACTATAGTAAATTCTAAATAATTTTCATTGGTTTCCTTCTATATGTATTTGATAAGGGTTTCATTTTAGGTCATTTAAAATTTTGTTATATCTCTCTATGAACTTACAATATAATTGTCATCATGGTCGTTCAATGTCATCATAGACTGTGTTAGCAGAACATTAGATTATGATATTTCTTTTCAGGAAGCGTATATTAATTTATAACAATGAGCATACTGATTTTATAATTTATGTAGTATTAGAAATAATTGATCATTATAGTTGAAACTTGTGTTTCAGTGGTGTAATCAGCAAAAGATATTCTACATTTATCGTCGTATTAAGAAGCTGCGTTTGGAAGATTGATAGTACAGACGCAATGCAAATATCATCACTGTAAAAGAAAAATTGTTCCAGACAAATTAAACAGGCAAGGAAGACTTTATTTAAGACTATTGCGATAGGAGAGAGAGATTAAGCTCAATCTCACTGACACAAAAGGCAGGGGGATTTTTAAATGCTGTGGTTCCCTAACAGAAAAAGGAGGGTTGGTCAATGTGAGTAGGCCATCTGTGTTTGCTAATTGGTGCTTGGTGCTTATCAAAGTTAGGTTTCTATTCCACCCCCCCCCCCCCCCCCCCCCCCCCCGTAGATATTGGAAGACAGAGACCCTATCTTTCTCAATAATTACATTTCAAAGGGTGACTCCAAGGTCCTGGATGAAGACATTCCTGGGTTGTAAAACCCCTGGCAGGAGGCTGAAAGAAGATTTACATCTCAAAGAGGCAAAGAAAGACTTGCAAGTTTTCTAAAGTAAATTCTCTAAGGAAAGGGAGGTTGGGACCTATAGTCAGGAAGAAACCTGTCTAATGTTTAGTTAGGCTGAGGGGAATGTGACATTCATCCTGGTCATCACCTGTCTCATTTCTATTTATTATTAATTCATGGTCTGGCTTCACAGACCCACTTCACATACCTTACAGTAGGGACAATATGTTTTCAGTACCTAAAACCCAATCTCAACAATTTAATCTTCACATATAGTAAGATTTACTTAGCCTTGATTAGTGGGAAGGCAGCATGATCTTGAAGGTTAAGAACAAAATTCATCATCTGAATCATTTATTCAGTTCATTGAATCATACTCTCTGCGAGCATTTTTAAATGCCTAAACTGGGGCAAGAATTTACTAATGATCCCCCGATTCGCAGAGACAATATAGTGAACTTAGTTTACTAAACTAAGTTTATCAGACAAATGGGAAAGCAAAACTAAACTCTGATTGCAACTTTTGATTGTATTGCAACCAAATTCTTTTTGCTCCGACCACAAACCATATAGTACTAAACTCAATAGTGAAAGAAGCTGGCTTAAGGATAAACATATGACCTTGTTTTTTTAATATATCACATATCATTCCCCCCCTAGTTTTTCCCTGTCATTTGCATCCATTTAAACTTCCTTTAAATTTTATTGTAAAGAATTGCTCCACATTTTCATGGTCATTGGATCTTTACCAAAAGCAGGCAACTTTTTTTTTTTTAACCAATGAAATGGGAAATATTCTATTCTAGTTCTATTCTTTGTCATTAACTTTGGTGAATCTTTTGGTGCTTGGGTTGAACTTTTTCATACAGCCTTGCAAATATCTCTCTCCCACTTAAGAACTTCACATAGAAAATGAGTCCCCAAAATACTGAATAAAGAAATGTGTTAAATACAGTGTGCAGCCACTGCTTTCAAGGATAGAAGAATCTACCTGGGATAACAAGTTACAATGTGACATACAAAATCCTTCTATGAAGACATGTATATGGTGATGATTGAGCACAGAAGAAAAACACTTAACTCAGTCTGGACAGTGAATAAATGTTTCCCAGATGAGTCCTGAAAATCAAACAGGTATGAATCAGATAAAAGATGGAGGGAAGGCATGCTCTTTAGAGAGTAGTATTATGTAAAAGTCTTCGACATGAAAGAAGACAGATTATTTAGGGGCTCTAAAGAGGAGTACAGCAAGATAAAATGA